AGCCCTCTTTTCATGATCGTCCGATTTTCCAGAAGGTATTTATACCTTTTACGTTGTTATTCTACTAAAAAGCTCATCAATCAATTTAGAATAGAAGGTATTTGTCAAAATTGAGTCCTGGTGTGTCAAAAATAAGTCTGATAGAATTGCAGGTTTATTTGAAAATTTCCCATCTGTCAGATTTAAGTGAAAATTCACCAAATCGACGGGTAAAACCGTTAAAAAATATCACAACAAATTCTCACTATGATACTTGTCTCTGATATGGAGTGGGAGTTGATTAGTCTCTGACGATGTGTTCCATTTCTTTGGTGAATTTCCACTTAAATTTTACAGATGGAAAATTTTCAAATAACCCTGCTATTTTAGCAAACTTATTTCAAACAAACAACCCGAGTAGAAGAGAATATCAAACCAATAACAGGTTTTACTATTTAAAAAACAATATCAGAACATGCCAATTTGTTATTAGTTTTTGATTGAAATAAGAGTTAAAATATCAAAAATAATAACTGAGAACCTATGGAATTATAACTAAATAAATACAAAATTAGGGAAAATGGATGTAATATCGGCCTAAATGCCCTTAATTTGGGCTTATACATAAATTTAGCAATCGACTAAATTTTCAATAGCGACCAAAAATATTCATTAGTACCGTCCCAATGACGCGTTCATGCAGATAAAATTGATAAATAGCAGATTTTTAGCTATGGGCCTAATCTCTGTTCCATAGGCTAAAATTAGAGCTATTTCTCCTCCCAAGTAATATTGCAGGTTTTATCGCGGTTCTATAGCATTCTACAAGTCTAAATCATGGCCTTCAAAACCCTCATAAAACCAAAATTGTTACTTTTCCTAGAACACCTTCAGCACACCTCGTGATTTCTCGTAGATCAGACCAGAGATACGTTTGACACCGCCACAGCCAGAAGACGGATAGCGGTTATCACGAAGAACCTTGCGATGACGCTTGGCACCTCCTTTGCCACGACCAGTCATTGTTGCTTGTTGGGTAAAAGAGTGGAGTGCTACTAATGATGCTTTTGCTACCTACTCACAACGCCGTCCGAAGCGAAAATGAATTGAGGCTTTTTTTTTAAGTAGTTAAATTTACGTTTATTTTCTGTTTTTTCATGTTTCATCATTTGGTTTAACATTTCAATTGATTAGCCTTTGGCTCTTCATCTTTGTTCTAGTTAATTGGTTATTATAATGTGATGATTGCGTTTAGCGCTAATTTACAGAATACCCTTTATGGGATTGTTTTGGTTAGGAGTTGACGCTAGACAGCAGCGCTCTTTTATACCTTTTCAGGTTAAAGCAGAATGATGCGCAACCAAGTGGTTATGACGACTGGGTTTGGGAAGAATGTTTATTTCATGAAAACAGTGATAAAAAATTCTTTTTAATTGTACATTGGACACCGCTTGACATTACCACTTTTTCAATGATTTGTTGTTGAAAATCATCAGTCGGAAGCATTGCTATGTGTCAAAATATTTCTGATCGATTGGTGATAAAATTAGTGAAATTGGTTCAGGAGCTGCTTAGTTATTAATGTTCAAAATCTTTCATAATTTTGTTACATGTTCCATTTTTGGTTTTCACAAAGTGTACCCTCGTATAGATATCACAAAAAAACATGAGCATGGAATCAACGAGTCCTGAACCCAACCCGACTGCGTGAATGTCACAAGTGCTATGCTAACCACTCACATATATCAACTTGTTGATGAAGGGATCTACAGATTCTTCGGTGGTTCAGTGGTGTGTGTGTTCAATCTAACCCCCACTGGCCGGCAGTGGTATTATGGAAGAAATTTGCTTACAACAATCCTTGATGTAATAATTTAAAGCAAGTTTAGTCCGGGAGTTAGAAAGCGATAGCTCTACTGCAGATTCAGCAACCCATTTCAGAATGCCTGATAATGCACATCCATTCCGAGGTTACTTTCACATACAATAAGCCCCGCATGTAAACACTACCAATATCATATGAATAATGGTACTTCAAAGACACTTCAACATGTGATGTGTCGGAATCTGGCGCGTATTTAGTAATATATGGAAATACGCATTTGCGGTGTTTCAGTGGTTCAGTGATAAAAATAAAAAATACTCCTGAGCAGACATTGACATGAACTTTACGCAGAGAGCGTTGGTACCTATTACATATCTCTAAAATACCTGTTCAAAATTGCTTTGGAAGGAAAGTTCTCTTAATACTTCTTCAAAGTTACTGAATTCCGAAAATCTACTCCAGTCCAAGGGTCTTGACATTTCTTAAGGAGGGGGAAATTTTCCAATTTGGCATCGAAGTTCACGGGTTTCCCGGTTACATCGAATTTCCGGATTTTTTTCAATTTCCCGGTTAAATGGTCACGCTGATGATTGTATTTGCAGTTTGAACTGGACTCCACAAAGATGCCGAATCTCAAATAAAAGTGTGCTTTGATGATGCATCGTCTTTTTTTCTTCTGCGTACTTTTCGTTAGTTTAATGAACTTCCACCTAGGAACTATATGACATACTGTAGCTCAGTAACATTTTTTATTATTGTTTTTGAACGAATTTGTTATTGTAATTCAAGCGGTAATGGCGAAAATAGTGACTTTAGTATAGGGACTTTTTAGTGACCACCTTCAAAAAGTAACAAAATCACTAAAAAGTGACCCACTATCAGCCCTGTACCATGGGAATTTTGAATAAAATTGCATGGTTATTTTGATTTCAAATTGAAAACAAACAAAAATAAAACCCTGAAAATGTTTAGATCAGTTTCGGTTTTTACAAATTTTTTTTCCCAAAGTCCAACATCTTCCATATTTTCTTTTAAGGCCCAAGCGTTTTACAACTGAAATTGGAGTAGGACGAAAAAAAATTGAAATATTGTTTAGTGATTAAATCCTAAAAAAATAAGACTAGGTACTGATGGAAATTATGCAGCAAATAGAGCAAGTCATTCCTTTGGTAATGACTTGTTCGTATGTTAAGTTTTATTTATTTTTCGCTGTTCTTTCGTTGAATTCTCAGGTTTTTCCCAGTTTTTCCGGTTACCTTTCAAATTCCCTATTATTTCCCGGATTTCTCGGTGCACTGGCCATCCTGTAATTAATAAAACATGTTATAACTATGCAGTTTGAAAATAGGATTATCAAGTGTGTTATTCATTGACCGGTTTTCGAGCAGAACTCAACCACAGTTATCAAAATCTAACTTCATGTCGGTCTGAAATAAACACGCTTAGATAGCAGTCTAAATCGATAAATTTCCATCTGTAATTTTTAATTACGAGTTAAATGTATCCCGACAACTACGAAACAGTCTTAGTTTTGTAATCCATACAATTTGTCCGCCCTCAGGATTTGTTGTGTGGCCTGCCTGTGATACACGAGGTTATCCTCATTAAAATCAGCCATCACAGTCGGTCACTCAGTTCCCTCCAACATGACTCATCAACACCACACAACTCAATCCCAAAACATCCGATTCAACTATATTCACTGTACGACCATCGTATGCTTTAAATCTCTATGTGGCTAACGATTGTTGCTTTTGCAGTAGTTTACCAAATGTTCACAGTGCATGATATAATTTTCCCCTCAGGACATAAATTTTCCATTTGTACATGTTCCTCGAATGAATGTGATTGGTCATACAATCTTTACAAAGCAGAAAAACGCAAAACCCCATTCCTAGCTGTTGTTAATGTGTCTGTGTGTCATCCAAAACGTCGTATGGCTTTCTTAATTCGTTTCTACTAATGAATGATCTCATACGGGGTATTCGATTGCGATGATCGTCGTGATGAAATTCGCAGCACAGCGCCGCCCGATTTAGAGACCATAATCTTTCCGGTTCTAAATGATGGTTTGTGAGAAATAGCATGCGCTGCCCGCTGATGAAGATTTTACGATTGCGTTGGGAAATATCTTTAAGACAATAAATTATGATCAAAAATCAATCTCGAGACTGACATTTACAGTGTAATGGATAATACCCACTCTAACTACAGTAAACGCACCAAATCCACACTTATAAACGTATTTTCCAAAACGATTCGCGTGCCTCAAAATCCCCCACACCTCAACCGGCACGCTATGTCGTGATTATGACCGTCGGAGGGTGCTTCATTTGTTATGATTTGAATGTGGTTTTCCTTTCAGCGAGAAAATATTCATGCACTCATCAAAACAGAAAACCAAACACGAGAGAAGCTATAAAAACCATCGATAAAAAATAAGGTTTACATTTTCCCTTTCACACTGACCAACTCGTGCGGCTCTTCGGGCGGCGCTCAAATGGAACCGAAGGGCTCGTGAGCGTTTCAACGACCGGGGAGGGTCGATACATTGTTTTATTGTTATTATTATATGGAATCTCCAGCCCATCATCGATCGGTCCACGCACGCAAGATTCCACCACCATCGCATCCAGTCAGGCCACCAGGCTTCGAACATTGATACTGCTGACCTACATCGTGCCCGAGCTGGAGCATGGAAATTATGATTTTTGTTTTGATCGAGCGCTCGGCGGCTGAATGATGACGGCCGGATAGAGGCGACCCTTCCTCGATTGATTATGTGTGTCAAGACAATTTCGTACCTATCGAGGAAGAACTGGGTCGCGCCCTGCGATGGAATGGCGAATTAGGTTGATTTCGAGCGAGGTTTTAGATTAGTGATTTTTTAGTCGAACTACTTGGGCCTATGAGTTCTACTTAGGGCTGAGCATATATTGTTAATATCGATATTATCATAATAAAAATCCATCGATCCGGGCAATTCACAAGGCTGCTGTAATGTCTGTTCCTCTTTGACCGACATATCGATCCCATGAGAACGCTTTTTTTTGGGTCGGTTTTGAGTCGTCCGTTTTGACCATCTCTACTGAAAAGTGACTTGCTGCCAGCCCTTCAATGACCGAGTCAACTCAAACAATGACTGTTGCAAAACAGTGTAATCGAATTAATCAAATACTCAACAAACTGAACTTACCCCATATATGTTGAAAGCCGAAGTGAGGAGATAATCCGGCTTCACCCTTAATTCCTAATGAAAAAGAACAGAAACAATATACGAATCGAATTAGTATCCAGTATGGTGTGTGTTTGCGTGTACATTCAAATGTAAATAAACTGCTTTAAAACGGCAAGCTGACCTTTCTTAATATACAAATGAGGCGTGCACATTGTTGTAGGTAGGTAAACTAATAAGAGGAGGAGGTTTAGCGACAGGAAATGTCCGCTATATAAGGAAGTCTATCGACATTTCAAACTACAACGACAAGTGAGCTGTTTTAGTCGGACTATTGCTATGGTTTAATGACACTTTGCAATGTCTTCTGTAAAGAATTTGGTTCAACATTTTCTTGAGCATGAGGAAGCAATCGACCAAGTAGACATTGCCCGGTGACATTTCATGCTTTCCTCGAGTCAATAAACACGTTTGTAGCTCTTTAATCGTCGTGGGCACTAATTCACATAGATATACAACAGCAAAAGAGCAGAAATCTGTAATCCGGAAATCACAGCTTTCCACACCATCGTCGCAGCCGTCATCCCAGGTTTATGTCAGTGTGTAACATTTAGAAAACCCAACCAAGCGCCTGTTCACTCAACGTCTAGACAAGCATTTTCTGCATAGCAATATCTATCGGACACTGATTATGGGGAAGAAGCAAACACCATGCTGGAAAAGTGCAATGCGAAAAAAAAGTATCACAAAATACCTACGATGTACAACCAATACACCAGGAACGAGCTCGGTCGGTGTCTGATGGTAATACCCAGGTACCTTATAAAGTGAAAGGAAAGGAAACCGTTCTGAAAATCATGCGCGCAATCCGCAGGCACAGGAAGAAAGAAAAAGTGAAATAAATAAATGCCGGTGACCTGGATTTCCTTGCCTGTTACCCCGTCGGAGTTTTTCCCCTCTTGATTGGACAATCGGGAAATGAATGGCATTTTTCGGTGAAAGTTAATTAGGGCAGATCCGAATCGTTATACACGACTTTGAGACTCGAAATCCAGCTGTTTCAAAATCATAAGTCGAAAACATGTTTAAATCTTCACCAGAATTGCAATGAGCTGATTGATCCCAGGCGAGGGGCTGGAGACTCTCTGTCTCAGGAGTACCAAAACAAAACTAACGCAAGCATAAACTGCATTGCCACTTTGAACTCCAGATGCAGCGAAACCAGTTACCGCCACATAAATCTAACGCCAAGAATTGAAAGGCGACAGTGTTAAAGTGTAAACACGACACAAGAAACACACCGACGACAACGGTCAACAAAGTCGCATGGTAGTAGCGGATCGGTGCTCAATGCAAATCGCATCCAACGTGCAACTTTATACATTTACTGACTTACAGTTCATTCGACTATCCCCACCGTAGCTAGTCTGTATATTATGTACCTACAACAACCTAAACAAAATACAAAATTGGTCTTCCGTTGCTGCTGTAACCGTAAGCTAACGAATGGTGCCTCAGTAGATAGTTTTTTTTTTGTCTTTTGCCTCTAGCTAAAGTCCGACGAACAACACAACTGTGTAGCAGTCAGTATAAATCACGCCGAGGCAGACTGTTTTTTTTTTCTCACGCATAGTAAATTAATTTAATTATAAACTGCAGCGTGCCGTTTTTGATTCGCGCATTTCCAGTTCGAGCCCGGCAAAAATAAAACTGACAAAAATCATTTGCTTAAAACTCGTCGTAGGCACTACTCTGTCCGGTATTTTGTTCAAGTGGGTGTGTACATTAAGATAATAGAGTTGACTTTGGTTCGAGAGCTGTACTGGATTTGAAGTGCAAATGCACTGAACGGCATAATAGAAAAGTTGTGTAAACTTCACGACGAATGACCTTCGGGGTCTCTGGCATGGGGTTTGCCTTGTACAGTTAACTTTAAAAATAGTGAGAATGGTTGACTTGGGGCATTCTGTTGGCCTAGCCATAAAAGTGGTCATTATTGAGGACTTTCTTGGGCATCGGTTTGCCACACAATAGACTAATGCAAAAATGGTCTAGGTTTAAGCTCTCAATTAACACCTGGACGCAGGATTGCTTCGACTCAATTCGCTATAAAAAATATTATTTGGAATTATGGATTCATTGCAAGCTATAATAATATGTTAATATGTTTCAATTTTGCACTCTGAGTGAACGCTCACGAATTATAAAATCACTGATTGTGACGGTCTGAAAGTGAAATTGAGATTGTATGTGCCGAACACATACTTTTCAACCTCTTCTTGCAGATTATAAGTCAAAATATCATTATAGAATTCAATGATTCCATACTTCAGTTTTTATAGCGAAGTGAATCGAAGCAACCCTGCCTGGAAGATTTCATAGAACCGTAAGATCAGTTCAAGCGTAATATTTCAGATGGAACGTAATAGGTAATAACATTGTAAATCGATACAAATAAGGCATAACAATGCAAATACAGGGTGCGTGACGAATTTTTGCAGTAAATGGCATATTTGAGAAAAAATACACCAGTTAGTTATTCTAGCAATGAATTTTGTGCGCTTTATTTTCTTTCGCAACATATGGAAGTTGTAAATAAATTTATTCAAAAAAATTGCCTTCCCTTTCGACGACTGTAGTTAGACGCTTCCGGAAACTGCAGTATGCACGTTTTAAAATGTTTCGATCCATAGATGTCATCACTGCCTTGATTTTAGCTTTTAGCAACTTAAGTGTGGTGTGAGGGGTTCTATTGGTATCCCGTTGGACGACGCCCTATACAAAATAATCCAACGGATTGATATCGGGACTGCTTGGGGGCCAAATTTCTTCCTCCCAAATTTACGAAATATTTTCCGTAAGCCATTTCTGTGCTTTATTAGCAGTATGAGCAGGTGCTTCGTCTTATCACTTTCCCAAGCCTTTTTTAATATTATACACTGTTCTTTCAGACACATTTACCGACCGAATTATTTCTTTCATGCATACTCCGGCGCGCAACAAAGCGACAACGGCTGACAGATTGCTCTCTTGTTTCGACATCTTTACGTTTACTCAACATTGTTTGTTTAAATCTTACACCTGACAGTATAAGCTATCCAGTGCCGCCAAATATATCTAAATCATGATGCACATGCATGAGAAATTACTATTTGAAATTTACTGCAAAAATTCGTCACGCACCCTGTATGTAGGGGCCTACATTGTAGGATAAATGCGTTCACATGTAAATTTCCTGGAAAAACCCGAAATTGCTTCACTAATTGCTGCAGAATATGAGAGTGTCTTCCATAATTTATTTAAGTGACAGTAGCATAACATTCTAACGTTTCCAAACCAACTGATATGTATCGATCAGATGCAACCTTGAAGTTTCATGGAAATCAGAGAAGGCTTTGCACAATTGTTCGTAGTGGGCAATTATTTAAATTTGCACTGAAATTTGGCTACTCTTCAATACACGACGTGTAAACATTTACATGATTGACAAATCTCAGGTAATCATGACATTTTGATCTTTGAAAACAACGCGAATGAGAAAAAGAGACCTACTGCGTCAGGATCTGTCAGGATTACCTGAGTTTTGTCAAAACATCTTAAATATTTTTGTTATGTGCAGCGAAGAATTTTGACTCTCGCTTCATTTTTCAAAAAGACGTGATCGATATGGCCTTTAAAAAATATCACATTGTAAGAAAATTTCCAACATTTTGGTAAAAGAAAAAAGAAAACCCCCAATAGGCGTTTTAAACTTGGCCTCTCGTAGCCATCTTGAAAAAAATGATGATGCGGATTTCAAAATTTTGCACGATGAGGTATAAGATTGAAAAAAAAATGCCTAAACATGTTTCTATTTCTCAACTAATGCATTTATTCATTTTTGTCGATGATTCTACGGGGGATAAAAACTCAAGAGACGTATTATATTAAATTTTTCGACTATGTACTCCCACAGCAGAGATGCCAGATTTACAGACATGTCTGTGAATTTACAGACTTAAATTTTTTCACAGACATTTTTTTCGTCACAGACATTTACATACTTTTTAGTTTTTTCACTTTTGTAATCACTGTTACACTGTTTAACACCTTTAGTAAAATTACACGTGCGATACATTTTGCCACACGCATTAGAAATTTGCGCGTTTTCAAATCCACCACACGAACGACTGTTATAGACGGTCATACTTATAGACCTGTCAATGTACTGCCATGTTGTATCCAACATGTTGGTTTGTTTGGATACGTCAACTCACGTTGGCCGGTCTATATATTGACTATCTATAGTAACTATCGCTGAAAAACTCAAATGTGCGGAACGCAATGTGCGATCAAGACAAAATTTCAATAGCGTCATATGGGAGAATAGTTTAAATAAAATGGAAGTGATTTCATTCAAATCGGTCCAGCCATCGTTGAGAAACGTCAGTGAGTTTTACTGAATTATTTCACTTTTTCGGTCATTCCTCCGGATCCCATAGTGCGATCTGGATAGAATCCAATAGCGTTCTATGGGACAACGGTTTAAACAAAATAGAAGTGGTGTCCAGTGTTGGAAAAGTTCGCGATATTTCAAGAAGTTCACCAAGGGAAAAGTTCACGAGTCATAGTGAGTTTTCGCGAACTTTTCCATCACTGGTGGTGTCATTCAAATCGGTTCAGCCAACCTCGAGAAAAGTGAGTGAGTTTTACTGAATTATTTCAAAATTTCACTTTTTGGTCATCTCTCCGTAACCCAATGTGCGATCGGGATAAAATTCATTAGCGTTCTATGGGAGACATGGGAGACCAAACAAACAAATTAAAAGTGATTCCACTCAAATCGGTTCAGCTATCGTCGAGAAAAGTGAGTGAGAAATTTTGATTACATTTCAAAATTTCAATTTTCCGATATGAATACGCACTTTTTTTCTTCCATAAATAAATATCAATGAAATTTTATGGACGATCAATGTAAATACTTCACTAATCATTATGTTGAGTTCCATGTGATTTGAGGTATCGCACGATGCATTTCGGCGCATGTCAGAATCTGTCCACTTCCCGGGGGTATCCGGTACATCTGAAAGAGGACA